AGAGAGAGAGAGAGAGACAAAGATCGTCTCTGTTTATCTGTTTACTGTGTTTCACTCACTTTACTTCACTGTTAATTCACTTAAATCAGAAATAAGCAGTCGTGGAATGTAATTAAGTATATATTAAATAAGTATTTATTCACAGGTTTTGGGGGAGTAACGGATTAATTGTAACTAAGTTACGTAATTAGGATACAAACAATGGTAACCAATCCATTATAGTTACAGAAAAACAAAAACGTTTATTAAAAACAAAAAGGCATTATTTATTTATTGTATTAGTTTTTCTTTTAAAATACACAGAGAAATTTTTACATTTTCTTTTAAAGGTTACATTGTTCTGTTGTCCTATAGGATACATTTGCATCAGTACTTTTTATTGTTATTGTCTTTATTTACAGATTTATTGTTGAGGTTATCTAAAAGTAAGGGGAAGTAATCAAGTTACTTTATTATTGTGATAGCCTACTTGGATTAGGTTACTGACTACATTTTTAGGTAAGGTAATTCATTGGATTATATTTTTAAACCCTTTTAATAAACCCTGTTTATTCACGTATTTCCATTTTATGCCTCTTTACATTTCTGCTCGTACTTTTTACTCCACTAAAACAACTTATAATGACTTTCTCCTTTTTACTGGGATTTACATGTGCACTGGTGTTTATATAGCTTTTATATTTATTTTAGAGATACATTTCTTCTCTAAACCTTTCAGATGGTTTCATTTGAATAACTGTTTAATGCTAAAAGAAGTGAAATTATCCAAACTTTCACCTAAACCACAGAGATTCAGCAGAACATTTTTTTTTAATGCTGGACTTAATTAATTAGTACTTTTACAGTGTGGTAGGTTTATGTAAGTACTTCTTCCACCACTGTCAGAGGAACATGCACATATTAAATTCACAATACCATCATTTGTTTTCAATAAGCTTATCCCAATAACAGCCTACTAAATACTAATGGATAGTAATCATTATTTCCACTAAATTATCTCATAATACTACAATAAAACCCCTTATTACGGGTTGTAATTTTCAGTCTTTAATTAAAAAAATTAAAATCAACAGACGTGAGAGACCGTTCATGAGTGTGTTTATAATAAATCTGGATTTTCATAACTATCCTCTCACTCTAAAAACATAAAATCCACTAGTGCTATGTATCTCATGCAGGGTTTGGACGTTGCGACTCCCTAATCTCATGTTTCACCACAAGGTGGCGCTGTTGATTCAGCTCTATGTTGTGATGTAGGTTTAGTCAACAGGTTGCTCAAAAAACTCAGAAAATGTGTGTAAACACAGACAAAATGTTTATTTTCATCCATCTTCCATCAGTATCCCTGTTCATTCAGATATATTAGCATTTTTGTGCTTCTACAGCATGTACACAGTAACATAAGCACTGCATTTCATAGTGGTACTGACATTTAAACAACAATATTACAAAGACTACACCAGCATAGTCAAAAAAACAACACATTTCATCTGCAAATAAAATGCTCATGGAGACAAATAAGACTTCAAGACATTGGATTGTTGATGATAACTAATGATGATATGACACGTAGCTGAATTCAAGTTTAAGTATGAAATATAATGGGAGTAAATGCATGCATTACAAACACAGAAACATGTATTTATGTAAAGTATTGATGAAAGGCCTTCAGTGAATCAGATATGTTGATCCGAATAATGAAACTGATGCAGCAAAACAAATCATTTATACAAAAAAATAAACAACAACAATAAAGAAAAATAAACAAAACAAGTGCTTGGGATTTTAATAAAAGTTTCATCTAACACTGTACAAAAGCAATACTATATTTATATATGTATTTATGAGGGAAAAGACCAGCAAATCCTCATTTCAAAATAAAAGGTCGAGCTAAGAACAGCACAAGACTCTATAATGCAGCTATTCTAAACACTGAACAAACAGCGTCACCAAACCGGACAGATTTCCTTGACTTCCACTTTAAAGTTTAAAATCTCATAAGGAATATAAATGATAATGATCCTTTTTTTTATCAGATTTTTCTAGAAGTGGTTTCAAATTTCAATGACTTGTGATGTTGGACTGATGCAACCTCCAATTGTGACTACATGTGGAAAGTGGCTGCTGCACTTTTCAAGTATACGATTTTTGCTTCCCTCCAGACGCTTGGCGGACTACCTGAAGGAGTGTCGGAAGTGCACACTCCTTCGTTTCAGCTTCTCTGGGTTGTGGGACGCCATGTGGGAAAATTCTCGGAAGATGTCAAGGTATGTGGCGTCTCCTGGTGAAGAAAACAAACCAAAAAAAAAAAAAAAAGAATGAAAATGATGCCACTTGAGACTTGATTTCCACAGAAAGAAAAGTCTGACACACAGTCAAAACATCTTTTATATGAAAGTGAATACAAGCAGGGAGGAAAAAAGCAGAAAGCAGAGGAGCCCTGGGTATGAAAAAGCCTCATGAATGGAAGGGGCAAAAACAGGCGGAGGCACCGTGAAGCTTTCCCTCTTTCAACTCTCCAAATTCTGGGCCTTTACTTTTCATGTGGCCATGGTAACCGCTGAATCTTGGGGGAATAACAAAAGCAGTTGAACTCTTTTGTGTCCCATGAGAGCTCCCAGGCTTGGCTAATTAAAAAAAGGAGAATGAACATTCCTGGTTTTCCCTGTTTATGTACATGTGAGTGTGAGAAAGAGAGAGTATAAGACTTATACTCAGTAACTTGTATTAAATGCTTATAAGGATCATTGTGCTTCTCAACCTTTTTGCTAAAGTTTTCCTAAACTAAACCGACAACCACTTACTAAGTGACATGTTTTATGTATATTTCATATTATATTCAATGCATAACAATAACAGCACAGAACAACTGATGAACTGTAAACAGTGAACACAACAACTGCAGGAAGTTTGTGAGCAAAATGAGCGATTTGGATGAATTTTGACCAGATTATTTCCTGTGAATATTGTTTAGAGATGAGTTTTCCTGCTACTTTTAGGATCTTTTTGTACAATTCTCTGTATTGTGTATTTTTTAAATTTATAACAATCATACATACTTAGTGTTTTCTTCTCCCTGATGTTTATTCTATTAGCTCTTTGGTTGTTATAACTGCGTACTTTTTTTAAATGTAGGACTATGAGATTCAGGCCTACTGTGTATATTTCTTAAAGTTTTCTTACACCCCTTAAAATCAAGAAGGGTTTATAACACACCTGTGAAGCTTTGGCGACCCCTAGTGGGGGTCCAGACCCCCAGGTTGGGAACCACTGGCCCAAACTGACAACCACTGAGGAACCACTTTATGGAGTTTGTGTAAAGCCAGCGATTTGTATGAATTTTGAGCAGATTATTTCAGATTATTGAGTGTTCCTGATATTTTAGCAACTTTTTATACAATTCTCTGTCTGTTTTATGTTGTAAAAATATTTTTAACAGCTATTTATCTGCATTTTTTTTTGCAGATACAGTGTTTTCTTCTCCCTGACACTTGGCCATTGTTCTATCAGCTCTTTGGTTGTTTTAACTTCTCTAAAGCAGGACAGGGCTGTTTATCAGAGGTTGACGGCTCTGTGAATATAACTTGTGTTCTGGTCTTCTAAGTTTATATCTTAAATAATAATCTAAACTTTAAAAATAACAATTTAGTTTTTTACAGAATGAATTACTGAGTCATAGCCCTACTGTGTACATTTTAAAATTAGGAAGGCCTTGCAACCCCCCATGAAGCTTTGGCGACCCCTAGTGGACTACCATCATTATACTATAAATAAAGTATATATTTATTTACAAATATGTCTTCTTCACTCTTATAATGGCTCCATCAGCTGATGAAGGCCATGAGTGTGGCCAAAAGCGTGGCCAAAAGTGCACCTTCAGGGAATTTACCATTTTGTCTGGGTCAGCCTGTGAATGAACACAAAAAGGATTTGTTTGTGTGTAATATCATTAAATATAATTCATTATCTATTATCAATCATTCACAATTGTTTATACACCAGTTATGGATGCTTTAGATGTTATAATTATTAAACAAATGCATTAATAAACACTTAAAATGTTCTTATTTTTTGCTTACAACTACGTTATAGTGTGTTGTAAACCATTTATTAATATTTATATGCTTCTTATGAATGCTAAATGGGGAGTTGAAGTAAAGTTTAACATTATAACTAGATTATAATGATTCTTCAGCCTCATTGGAAAAATAATCATTTGAAACGCGAACATTAAACTCTCTCTGTGCAAATTCAAGTAATGAATTCACATTCAGATTCACACAATAAATATGTTATAATGTCATGCTGTGAAGATCAGAGATATTCCCACAATCAGTGTGTGAAGGCAGAGGTTTGTTAGTGCTGTTAGATGTAGTGAAAGACTGTCAAAGTGAGTGAAAGAAGACTTGAAAATGAAGCAAAGAAGCAAAGGGAGAGGTTAGCTTTTAGTCACATCTTCCATTTATTTTCATTACCATATTAGAAGACACTGGGAGGAGTTATTAAACAAAAAACGTAGGTACCAAACCAAACATACACAGCAGTAGTAGCAGTGTTAATAGCACACGTACTGTATATTCAGAGACAGTTTTTACAGGTAACAGTCAGAGACAGAAAAAAATACAAGAAGGTTAAAAATTGCATGTTAGAAGCAAGCAGTTAAAGTGTTACTAGTTTTTAGTTTATATACACAACAGTCAACTTGTTGACTTATACCGACTGATACACTGCAGACACGTTTTACTGTACAACACATAATCCTTCAATGGCATGATGCAAAATCATTGTTAGTAATGACATCATTCATCGAGTAAAATCTGCTTCCTGTTAAGTTTTGTAGAGTTGGTGTGTAGCTCCCACAGCTATCACACAAAGTACTGCACACGATAAGAAAAAAAGGCTGGATTTAGTGTTTTCAAAGTGCTTTGAATCTATCTCTGACGAGAAAGCTAGAAGGGAGGAAATGAGTGAGCTGCTCTTTCTGTCACATCTGCTGCTACATCCTTAAATAAAAACAGTTCCCTGCGACTGACTTGGTTAACTCAAGTTAGGGACTGTATTCAAATTATAAGAGGGGGAAAGTGGGGTCAGGAAAGAGGATGCAGATATTCTTTTACTTGAGTGAAGCATGAGAATTGTCTTTTTATAAATTATATTAGCTGTGTCACACCATCTGCCTTTGATGAACCTCCTCTGCAGGATTATAAACGGCTCCATTAAAACAGAATGGTTGCAGACAGTTGTGAGACAGGACTCGATGGTACAAATACATCGCTATATAGCTTCACTGATAGGTGTGGTCGGATGTTGCACCTGTAGCCACACCCAGTGGCTACAGGTGCAACAGCAAGGTGAGAAGTTAAACGGCTGGAGGTCAGAAAAGACAAGATTTTCAGGGGTGTTAAGTTACTCTTTAGGCTTAAAATCATAGAATTTAATGTATAATTTCACTTCATTTCACCTGCATTTTGTAATAAACAGCTTGAACACAATATGTAATACATTTCCCTGTGTTATATGCTTTTTACAAAAAACGGGAGTTGCACTTTTTTATGATGAAAAATCTAAAAATATGGTTCATTATGTAATAACCAACCAAAATGGATGTCTTCATCTGTACACGTGTTATATTTTTAACAATAAACTTAAATTAAACTTCACAAATATTAAATTAGACTCCCTTGGTGTTACAGTTGACTTTGTTATCATCCTACAACCAAACTCAGGGACTTCATGCCAAAGGCCGACCTGGAAAAACTCATTCATGCTTTTAATTCTAGCATAGTTGACTACTGCAGTGGTCTTTAGATGGGGCTCCCCAGTAAGACCATTGAAAAGCTTTAGCTTATTCAAAATGCAGTTCATAAAGGGGAAATGTATTACATATTGGGTTCAGGCTGTTTATTACAAATTGCAGCAGATTGTGGGTGTTAATGAAGTAAATACATTTCGTTGAGGTATTACATAATGTGGTGTCATTATATAATGTGTTATTAATAGCCCGGGGCAGGGTCTTACATTTTTAAAAAAGGTTCAGGCCCCCATATAAATAATTTCCATACAGTCCCTTATAGTTAAGAAAATCCCTTTGGATTTATGGCCTACTGTGAGAAAGAAAAGGGTAAAAACACTTGCTAGCTCTCCGAAAAACTGTCTGCGGTCTTTGGTTTGAACTAAACCCCAACAGTCTATAGCATCTGTCAAAGACAAGCAACATCTTTGGGAAAATATTTCACTTTTAGGCTAATTTTGCCTCAGATTACGTGAAAAACTCAAACGAGACTGTTCGGCGCTTTAAGCAACAGTCATGTCCAACACTTTCTGGATCACTGCCATTTACTGTGAGCAACCAAAGGGGAGAGGGGGGGTCAAACAAAAAGAACTCATCAGACCCACCTTCATTTATAGCATAAAGAGATCATTAAATACAGTTTTGGGCAGCGGCCGAGCTCCCATGTTCATTGTCATCAAGCTTTTTGCACTAAATTTATCCAGCCAATGGAAGACAGTGGGAAAGGGGTGTTGAGTCTGTTTGCATCCATTTCTGTCATGAAAGTCATTTCATGCACTGTTGTCATGATTTGGCAGTATATAATACGGATATTAACATTATTCAACAATACTAAATGTCAAATATTCACATACACTGGGCACAGAAGTAAACAAAAGTAACAGGGGTTGGGAAGACCTGGGCAACATCCACCCATGCACTATAAACAAAGAACAAGTCTAATATAGGCCTAGTCGTGATACATTAGATTACCATAAACAAACATTTTAACATACAAATACTGTATATACAGTAATACATGTTAGTTTAGTGTGATTTATCAAAAAAAATTCCGTCTTCCACTGCAGTTTGTACTGCAGCATTACTCCAAGTGATTATGAAACTATTGTATTGGCTCGCTTTCTCACAATGAGAATATAATACTGACACTGTGTGTGTGAGTGCTCAGCGAAATAAAGTCTAACAAAATATATCCAGCTTAAAAAAATACCATCTGCATTGTTGTTAAACATAATACAAAAAATACAGATTATCTGTACTGAAATAATCATTGCACTATTGCTCTGGAAGTTTTGTTATAAATAAAAACGAAAGCGTTCGAACCTATTCAGAAAACATAAAATAAAAATGAAGGTACAACGACACAAGGGCAAAAACAAAATTCAAAATCACTGTTGGTAAGAAAAAGTGCATAAATTCGCTTTTGATTCAACATAAAAGCTTTACTTGATCAATCTCCCGATCAGTACGTTTACTCTCAGTCACAGTTATCGCAGCCTCACAGCCGCCTCACGACTACAGACCCTCAGGTTATTAAAAAAGCACAGTCAGCTCAGATTGAATTGACCCTGAACAGGCAAGAAATTGGCTGCACCACCCTGTACTACAAAATTTGGCATTATTCCCCCCGACATCATCTGCACTACAAACAGTTGCAAAGTGTGAGGAGCCGCTGGTTCCAGAAGTGTTTTTTCCCTGTTCTGTTCCCATTTAAATTATATTCTTGATGTTACTTTACATAGAAACACAGGACTCTCCTGGATAATGTAACAGCCCTATGGGTTTACGCTACAGCCTCCAGTTCTAATTATTTCTACTTCACGTCTTTTTGTTTATGGCAGACTGCTCTACGTACTACACTACCCATGGCCACCATTTAATCTTTTCTACTGATAGTAAATATTAATAATGATTGGAATAATGATGATTTAACCAAGACAGTTTCATGCTGATACAAGTTATAGAAGTGCTGTGAGTCACATAACATTTTCTATGGTACAAATTAACAGAACTTTTACTTCCAGAACCAGTGGCGCCTGAAATAGCTCCTCCCACTTCGCACTACAATAACAACTCAGTCACATGATGAAATTAAAAGCAGAATTGTTGTGGCAGGTCTTTGGTTCACAGCACCCTGTACCCTCTAAAACCTCCAGATAAAGGTCAAAGTTGTTCGCCAATACACTGCCGATGACTGTATCTGTGGTTTATTGATTGCTTGACGATAGTGCTGCTGGATTATCTTTTTAAAAAAGTGTCTAAACCTTTCTCCAGGCTGTGATTGGACTGGTGAGCACCTGACTAAGCTCGGTCAAATCTGACATCATTAAAAGGAAGTTAAAACCTGTGTGTGATCCTGAGTGAGGAGCTGACCGCTGTGGACTAAAGTCAGCAGACTGTGCTGGCAAGAGGGACTTGAATTATTCTGGTGTATTTGATGTAGAGAAGTTTACAAGTGGAGGAAAACAAGCTTGGAGCACAAGATCCCAGACAGGTCTCTCTCAGTCAGTCATATGTCTACTGGCACCCCCTGCGCTGGCTTTACAATGTACTATAACCTGACTGGATCTGATTCTAGCACTGTGCTATAGTGAGACAGATAAACTCCTGAATGCATTTCTTATACTGTTGCTCAGTGGGACTGCTGGTTGGGTATTGACCTGGTTGTCCGAAGGGTCCCTCCGACTCCCGCATCTCCTCATTCATCCTGGCCAGACGCAGCCTGAAGAAAAGGAGGAAGAACAGAACGGAAGAGGAGCAGAGCGTTAAAAATCCATCAACGCTCCATAATATGAAAATGTATAGCAAGTATGTGTATAAATGAACATACAGTGTGACTATGTCTGCATTGGCTTGCTGCACAGCTATACTCAAAGGGTCCTGGCCATCCTCATCCCCGTCGTTCTGTGTCGCTCCCCTCTTTAGGAATAAACACACCTGCCTGAAAATACCAGAGAAATGGAGATCAATCACAATGCACATCATCGTTTTTAAAAGGTCTGTGCTAAATATGTCTGAAACAAAACAAATAATGAAATCTGTAATTTCAAAGAAGCTGCTGCAGACAATGGGCCTCATGCAATTGTTCTTATCCTCAATCTGTTTTACTTTACTTATACGAGTGTCAGATTATCTTAAAAGACCAGTGTGCAGGATTTAGTCGCATCTCGAGGGATGTAGTTTTCTTTCTCATTTCTGACTATAAATCCTCCTAAATGTTACACACTGGACCTTTAACTGCACAAACTAGTCTAATCTGTTCTGTTGCGTTTGTGGGAAAGTTTCATTCATCATCACAAAGATGTTACCCAAGAGTGAAAAAGAAGAATATCACACTGCAGTTGTGGTTGTGCTGTTAGGAATCAGCTGACAGAAAGATTCAGACTCAGCAGTGGATCGTGGTACGGTGAGAGACATAAAGAGGGGATGGTTTGACATGAACAGTTTATGTGGATGGTTCTTGCTTGAGGCCCACTGTGTGTGGACAGCAAAACGTCATCAAAAGCAAATGTTTTATTGAAATGGAAACTGTGTGAGAGGCTAGAAATGCAGCCCGGAGTAAACAGCTACGCTCTGTCTCCCGACTCACCCTGTGTGTCCCAGATATGTGGCGTGATGCAGGGGGCCCCTCCCTCTCGCGTCCGTTTGGTTGACGTCAGCAGCGTTCTGGAGCAGGAACTCGCAGGCGATCAATGAACCCTAAAATAAAGTAACAACACCGGTTTGCTTCACACTGACAAACACAACACACTGGTATTGATTTTGTCACCAGAGCCATTTCTGGTCACTGTGGTGATTTGGAGGGAATTGATCTTTGCATAGTCAATTATTTAATGATGTTTCAACTTTATTAAAACTTTTAGTCTGTGTCAACTCATCTATGTCAATTAGTGTCTACGAGTCTAATCCTGGTTTTAATCATATTAGGATATTTCATAATTAATATCTCTGTATGATTCTAACATTTCTCAGTTTTTATTGACGTCTCATCACTATCAGAGAGTTAGACTATCTTCAATCTCAGCATGAACAAAATACAATAGCAGCACTTTACAGATGTTTCACCAGCAAAATGTCACTGAAGCAGAAGTAAAACAACATTTTACACCTTACTGACTCTGACTAGTAAATATCAATAAACTACAAACTCCACACTAGCTACAAGCTTGTAACACAGGCTTAAAAATGTTAAAAATCTGACGTGTCTAAGCCCAAACTGAGATAACCCTGATTACATCACTATGACATTATCAATCTCTAATGGTTCGTGTCCACAGGGGACTTTTTGGACGCAAACACAGACACCCTCCTACAACTGCGCAAACACTTCTGATTGCACCTGATTGGACAAATGGTTTCTGCTCCAGGAAGCATACATAGTATCACTACTACTAATGCTGCTGCTGCTGCTGCTGCCACTTTACAGTATCTTACAGATTGACTGATTGATTTGGATTGACAACAGTGAGTTTAAAGGTTTTTCTTGAGTTTCCAGAGGCAACAAGTCGAGCTGCCGTATGCAGACCTTTACTTTATGCAAATGAGCAGCAGCCAACGTGAAGCCCCGTCCACTGAAACGCAATACCAGCGATACCAGAATGCATTGCACTGCGGTACATAGACAATAAATGGAAAGCGTGGAAAAGTATTTGATGTGTTACTAAAACATTGGGCTTCACAGATGTGATGCTTCTTATGTGACACATTTCTAGTAGCTCTCAGTCGGGCTGACTCACCCCAATCACAGCCTGTATGAGAGGCGTCTTTCCTTCGTCCTCGTCGTTGACTAAGTTGACATCCGCCCCGTGGGCCAGTGCTTCAGCCATGACCGGCAGGTTACGGGCTTTCGAGGCTTTGTAGAGCAGCGCTCCGGGATGAAGGTCCCTCATGTCCTCAGGGTCTGACGTCTCCGGCTCAGCCTCCAGCTCCGCTTCACCACTCGAATCCTCCGACACCTCGCACTCTGAGGACAGGAGAACTCATGTAAGAGCAACACAGGGCACACAGAATACTGCAGGACCATACTTGCATTAAAGGAAACCAAATGAATTCTACAATCTACTTTATTCTCACAGTATATCTTGTACATAATACCTAAGGGACCATCTGTTACACATTCTTCCACTGGACTCACCCTCTGTGACACTGTCCACCACTGAGCCAAACACCAGGATGTCTGTGCTGCCATCTGTGCTGCCTCCCAACCCGCTGTCACTGCTCAGGCCTGCCGGACCAGAAGACGCCAGAACATGGACACATTAGTTACCGCTGTCTCTTTCTGGCTGATCAGTGTTATTTAACAGGCACAGAGACAAGGCTTGTACAGACACGCAAGATTCAAGCCTCGGCTCTGCAATTTGGGTAAAAAACTACAGTTAAAGGCTTGAGTGTCTTGCTGTAGTGAACTGAACTTGGCAGTTTGTCAAAATAGAGAGTCGCTTACTTCGAGGCCCAGATCCCGTGTCAAAATAGGAGAAGAGAGAGTCCAGCTCATCGGGACAGAACAGGGAGTCTCGTCTGAATTTGGCAGCTGCTGTGAGACAAACATAGAGGAAAGCAAAAGGTTAGAACAGTCTGTTTTCTATAACAATGACATTAGGGCCCATTGCGTAGGCCTAGCCCCAGTTCTCTCATGTATTACCCATTATATTCAAGTCACAGCACTAGGATTACACTGTGCCGCTGTAATACATTAGAGGCACAAACTGGATCAAACAATGTAAACAAACAACAAACAAACAAACCACATCACTTTAAAGCTCCACTCTGAACAGACAATTCGAGACGGAGATCAATGAAAGTACCTGCGGAGAGGGTGGAAGGGGAGGTGCTTCCGGGCTCTTGTCGGTATCTTCGGCGTGTTTTAGGGACCGTGGTGGCACTGTTGTGTCTCCGACACTTCTTCACGCTCCACCGCCGCTCCGACTTCCTCTCTCCATTGATGAGTATCTCTGTGGAACCCAGCTTCTTCAGGAATTTCTTCTCTACATACTTTGCCTTAATCCAAGCCTCCTTCTCCTGCCTGTAGAAGGACCACACAACACATGACGGACTTGTTGCGTTCAAAAGTAACAGATTTAAATAATGTATGAGAACAGTTGAGTTAATTTGATGAATTCCTACCTTGAACTGGACGGCAATGGTTTCTTTAGACCTTGTTCTTGGTACGAGCCTTCGTAGATGTGGTTGATGACACTGTTTCCAAGCTCACACATTAGCTACAAAGCAACAACAGGAGACAAAATGTTTATTCGCTTTTTTGTCGAGAGTTAGAAGATAACATTGAAACTGCTCCCATATCTGTCCTTTAAATATGAAGCTAAAGCCAGAACAGTTGGCTTAGCTTAGCATAAAGACTGAAAACATGGTAAACAGCTAGCCTGGCTTCTGCTGAAGCTCACAAATTAACATATTTTATTTTGTTTAATCCTATCAATTGCAAAATGTCAAACTATTCCTTTAATGCAACAATAATAACTGCCTCATTCTCCAGACGCTGCTGGGACAAACTGTACCTTTAATAATTCTGGTTCCCATGAGTCCAGTGTGAGTGAGCGAACCTTCGAACAGTGAACTCCGAGACTCCTGAAACAAAAACATATTTTAAGTTTAAGTCATTTATGTTCTGTAGGCAAACAAATTAAGAGGTGAAAGTGAAAGAATTATACTTAATTATGACTTTAAGGCAACAGATGGCGGCCAACACAAGAAACCAGAGTAGCTTATATTATTTTGAAGTTTTACAAATGAATCCTTCACCATGTTGTTGTATGGTGACCTGGTCTGAAAAGCTGAAAGCTGCTAAAGTGTTATCCTGAAGGAAATGAGAGAAGCCGCTCCTAATGTAATGCAAATCACTAAGTTCCACCGATGAAGCTGTCTGGTATCCAGGCAACAGTGATACTGCGCTTCTCCCCCTCGTCGCCCTGCATTGTAACAAAGAAGCCATGTCTGATCTTGCTGTGAGAGGACGAGCCCCAAAAAGGGGTCATGAATATTTAACAGGGGAGGGGGGACACACACGGGGATGTGGTTCGTGATTACATAAGCAGTGATAATTGCAACTTAAAAAAAACACACACACACAACTCCTAACGGGAATATTTTTCCCAGCAACAGTGTGATGTAACAGAACATGAGCGCAGTGCATTGATCTGCATGATGACAGGATGTGTTTATCCGCAGCATGATACCTTCATTCAACGGCATTACATCATATTCACCAGGATCTGACACTGAATTGAACCATTCAACGGTGTGTTCACTGTGTGTGTGTGTGTCTCAGCTCTGCAGCCGTCTTTATCGTCTCACTTCCTCCCCCTCAATGAAAAAACCTCAATCAAATCCAATAAGCAACGTACTGCGCTTTAATCCCATCAGCGGTGTGTGTGTGTGTGGCAGACCGTGCTCGGTGCCTTTAGCAGTGCATGTGAGGCCAAAGTAACAGACTGCTGGAGCCACTTCCTGCCATCAGTGCCAGTAGCCACACAGCACATGGCGGCAGTGAAAGAGGAATTCAGATCTTAAAGTCGAACCATCTCTCAAAAAAAATGTGTTCTGCTTATTGTCGCTTTAATGCTGGAGCTTCGCTGTGCAGGATGATGCGTGTGCAGAGTTTAAGTTCTTCTGCTGAAGGCGGACTAAATGTCTCTGCGCTCACCTTACGCCTGAGTTTAACACGTGTTTGTACGAGCAGGATTTTGTGACATCACAACTTGTTTGGAAGCCAATTCTGGTCCGAGATGCAACTCAGAAGCGTGATGTGGAAACTTGAAGCCTGCAGCGCACATAGACAGTACGCTGAGAAGTAGGAGACATTGTGTGTCCACCTCAAGGAGTTTTTAACTGCTTCTATACGACCTACATAAGCATAGTTATTCTTAGCCTGCTACTGGGTCGGATTCAGTCGGATTCTCCTTAAATAATCAATGAAATGAGGCAGCAGAAACACCACTGCGTTCCTCATTCGTAGGGTGAAAAAACAGATGTAATTTTAACATTTTTTTAAGGGAAAACCCAAATCAGATATATGTCTGGAGGGGATCTAATAATAATCTACAAAATAAGTCCAGAAATCAGATAAATGTTGTGAAGTAGAAATAGAACCTGTTTATCATTTCAGTAAATGTTCTTCTATTCATCACTAGCATGTGGTTAGGATCATTTGCCACAGTAAGGATTCCTCTTGGGCTTTTCTTTTTCTTTTATATTAATCTGAGAAATATAAATGTTTGTCTGGCCTCTACCTGTGGATGCCGGAGCACTCGATACACAGCAGGATGCCCAGGTTGATGGAGGCCCAGCGAGGGTCGGCCTGGCCGCAGTCACAGCACTGCTCGTTCCCTGGCAGACACTGGATCCGCTGCAGGATGGTGTCCCCTCGGACGCTGCGCTCCCGGGGCTCACTGGCCGAATCAATACTGCTGGTGGACGGAGAGGCTGTTCTGTCCAGATGCTAAATATAAAACACACACTTTCATTAGGATCACAAAATGGCACATCAATAGGTGTAGTCTGTGTTATGCAGATGTTTTCTTTATGTCGCTTTTGTAGTACAATTACAAGGTTTTTCTCCATTTCCAGTCATTATATTAAGATAACCTAAGCTAATCATCTGCTGGCTGTAGTTTCATATTTACGTATTTACAAATATGAGAAAGGTATAAATTTTCTTATCTAACTGTGTGCAAGAAAGCAAATAAGTGTATTTCCCACAATATTCAACTGCTCCTGTAATGTTGTAGTAAGTCTAGGTGGAGCTATTTAGATCTATAGCAATAGATAGCATATAGTGTACAGTACAGGATTTCCCTCTTAAAAGTATAAAGTAGCATACAATGGAAAAAGTCTAATAAGTAACCTCATAATTATACTTAAGTACAGTACTTAAATAAATGAATCCACCACTGCAATGATACATTCAAATCAAACGTTTGTGTTAAAATAAAACACACATGCTTTATAACCATTGAACTCACCTCGATATAGTAGGTGTCTGGACTCTCTCTGTAGGCTGAGGCAATGCTAGCTTGAACCGCCTGAATCCACGCTTGTCTTAGTTTCTCAGATTCAGCCTGAAGCATACAGCTCCTGTAAAACAATCAAAAGAGAATTAACTAATCATAAAGTACCTTCTGTACAGATCTGCATAATTTAACGTGGCATGCTAAACCAACACCGTATTAAAAAAGGAAAGATTTCTTCTGCATATTCACAAATTTCACATAATATTCATTCTTCGTTTCTTAACTGCTGTGTTACATCTGGAGCTGCTGTAACAAGTGAATTTTCCCAGTGTGGGATCAATAAAGTCTATTTTATCTTATCTTAGACACTGGACCTTCATATTTGTGTACCTCAGTGTTTTAGAAATGAATTAAAATAAAATATCTAATGCAAATTGTGCAGTAAAAGTGATCAGAAAACGTATTGGTTTTCTGAACTGATACAAGACGTGTGAAGTGCAGTAAACTGATGTCTATAAAACTACTGCATGTTAACATCTGCTAATTAGCACTAAACACAAAGTACAGCTGAGTGTGATCGGAACATCATTAGTTTTGAATATATCTGATAATAAACTTGAGTATTAAACTAATTAAAACGTTGGCCTGATGATGGCGCTGGATTGAAAGTGAAGGGATCACCAAAACATGAATATCTGACCCAAATCACATGGTAACCCCTGCAGTAGTTAAGTCTTACTTGGAGGGGGAGACGACCTCAAAGCAGAACCTCCTCTCGATGTCCTCACATGGTTTAACGGAGCACAGCCGGAGGTCTTCCACCACCACCGTCAGCGAATCCTGCTAACACACAAACAACTTCTCATTTCTCCGCTAATCAACAGCCCCAGCACAACGCAAATATAACACAGCTGTCTCCCCCATGATAAGACAGTTCTCCCTGCCAGCTGGAAGCTTCCTGACCATTAGATATTTACACACATGTACACACACTGATGGCAAGCCGAGAATTGAAAATGACCTGAAAACCACACTATCAGCAGAGATCTCTTGATTCACAAACACGCAGTCATTGAGTGATGATGGATTTTTTAGTGAAGATCAAAAACATTGAACCCCACCCCCATTAAAGTGCACCTCTTAGAGCCCACTTTACCCGGGGGTGAAGCTGATAGCTCGAAGATATATGGACTTGCCTTGAGCTTCTTCTGATAGACCAGCTGACTGTTCTGTATGGAGAACCACCGTCTAGAGAGAGAGAAGGGGACATAAATAAAACTTGTTTTAGATGGATTTCCTTTCAATTCTCAAGGGGGGGGTCAGTGTGATCAAGGACGGGTAAAAGCTTTGAGTGAAATGGGTTTCGCCATATCGTGACCATGTGAGATGAATTTATTACATCGCTTCACATCATAGTCACACTAACCCGGAGGAACCTGCCACAGAGGGACAGAAATAGGCTGACAGATCTGCCAGAATGAGAAACCGAGGAAAGAGCATGCACAGTCATCTTCTGATAACATTACAATATACATTATATTAGATTGTATTATCCTATTTATGTCAGTATATAATCATTTTACAAATATCTTGTTTTAATATTGTAAAATTGGATTATTCGATACAACTGCACCCCAACCTCGCCCCCTCCTTGTCAACAGGAAGTGTAACATTGCCATGGAGTCAGTGAGGTAGCTGTGGGTGTTTTTGCCCATATTGTTTTACATTTTGGCTAATTAGCACAATTAAAAGTATGCCAAATTCACTATTAGTAGACCCTGTTTGCAATGCACACATGGATATACAGACAAATATCAGTGGATTACTTGGATGCTGAGGAAAACTTAAAAACATGATGATTCTTAGGCAAGTTCTGGAGTTATAAGGAAGACTATAAATAGCTCTCTATTTTCCGATTCATTTCTCATCATTTCTCAACACACTACTGTATATTCCCTCTTTTTTAGTATAACTCTATGTAACTTATGGTAATGCTAAAGCCACACAAAGTGTTTTACCATCAATTCACTGTGTATACCAATGTGACATATCCCAGTATATAGAGATGTTTTGAGCATTTTTAGTTACCTGTTCCAGGTCTTAAAGGCATTGCTGGCCCTCTTGAACAAGTAGCCCTCCATCACCACACCATTGGGAGCATCCACGTTGAACTCCACCTTAGAGTCGTCATACGAAAAGTCCTGGAGGAGAAGAGAAAGACAGAACCCCAAAATGAACCCTGGCTGTCACACAAAAGCTCAACAGACCAGCTGATTGTTGGCAGGATCTTTTTCCAAACGGGGAAACAAAACACTTGTCTGATTTCGGTAGTGAAGCGGTTGCATGTGTGCTGTTTCCTGGAATACCAGTAGCATTCGATGTGCTCTGTGCTGTACATGCAGTCCATAAACCGACCAAATCATCCTACATTGTGCGATCATGTAGAAACGGTCACGTGTTCATCCATGTATGCATAGGAGTTGCATGTCATCTTCCTGTGTGGCACACTGGGGCATTTTATAACTCAACAGATGTGAGCATGACGCAAATTATTACATAAGCAGAGTATGATTCATGTGAAATTACCCTCTAACCTTTTGACTTACAACATGACACCTAGCACTTTAATGCTAGCCAACAGAAAGAGGTACACAAGTACTTAGAGCTTAGGGGAGACTCATACCTAAATTGAAGGGGTTTTAGTGTCACCAGTGTTTTGATGTTTTGTGTAGAAGAATGGAAGAGTGACTCAGTATGTCCCGAGACTGCTAAGAGGCTACATCTCAGAAGTAATGTAATATGCAGTGGGGACAGAACATTAACTTACCCAAAATTTAATTTCAACATCGCATGCCTGCAGCTTCGAGAAGAGACCAGACGCAGTCTCCCGACCGGAGTTAATTTAGGCTGCAAGCTTAAAACGCAGAGAGCTGTATCCGACATACACACATGTTCACTCGCTCTCCTGTTTCATAACAGGGTGTGTGTGTGTGTGTGCTCGCAGCAGCTCCCAGCACACCATTAACTACTTACTGCATGTTTGAATAATAGAAGGATTCACTGCTCTCCACATATCACCAGTTTAACTTGTACACATATGTAAAGGTTGAATTCCAGCAGACACGAGAGGCACAATGTTTTAGTAATGGACCTTCATCAGGCATCAAATTTACAAGACTTACACTAAATATAATACAGTCCCAGTTTGTTACATTAATAATTAACAAAATAAATATCTTATATATAAATAGTTTCTTTTAACTACAAAAGACTGGATGGGCAATACAACATAAACAATTTTTAAAAGCAGAAAATGGTTAAAAAAAAAGGTTTAGGGAGGCAATAAACAGTCCAGGTATTTAACAACTTTGAAGAAAAACAGATCATACGTCTATTAATGAAGAAAAGAACCATCGAATAAATTGCTGTTACAAAGTAAATAGTCACAAAATATCAAGTCAATATTCGCAAAATATGCAAGAATTCAACCTTTTTTTCCCGCATGACTGCATTTTCCTCTGCCCCTGTCCACCAGCGTGCATTAGACAACACTTATTTTAACGTTTACACATGCACATACAGCATGTCACTGAGCATTACGCCTGGGAACAGGCATTTTCAGATTTTAATGGGACTGTGCTGCGTAGGCAGGGAATTAGGAAGAGACAAATAAAGAGAGTAAGTGAGAGCATATGTTGTGCCTTTAACAGTGACTACTGTCAGAGCAGTACAATTACTCTAAAGCCATGAAAAAAAACTCAGACATAATTATCTATAGATACTAAAGTAACAAACAACCAATGTAATGAAAATCAACCCACCAAACTCTGGTCCCACCGGCAAAAGATCTTCATTTTCAAACGTTTAGTGTGTTCCAACAACATTGAAAAGCACAAAAAAAGGCCAGAACCTTTAAAAAAATAACCGAGATCAGCTCCTGAAACCTCTCAGAGTAGAAGCATCTCCACTGTCTGAGAGCTGCACCTCTCACAGCGGAGGCTAACGCGTTGTGTCGCTGCAGCTCGGTGCGCAATTCCAGCACTGACATGTGTGTCCTCCACTACAGCCACCTGCCTGCTGCCCTGTGAGCCGCAGGATTACGACTAATTACCATACAGCTGCCAATGTATCCATGGCAGGGTGCTGTGGAAGAATAGCCGACTACACTGGCGCAGTACTGTAGCTGCTCTTGACCCAAAGAAAAGCAGGCTGCTTTGACACTTCAGTGTCTGGGTCTGCTTCAGTTTTACAAGTCCCTAAACACACCTCCCTCACTGAAGAAGGTGGGAGTTTCAGTCCCTTGCTGACCCACAGGAATCTATCTGGCAGGCTGCCCAGATCACCAAACAAACACGACTTACAGCTTGATTTAACGTCTACACTGACAGCAGCTCCCGCTCACAACTGCAATCCCTGCAACGCAAATATCAAACCTGCGAGAAGTCGACGCGGCTTACCTTGTCAGATGAAGAGTCTCTTTTGAATAGAACATCACAAATATAGGAGGCAACACTGAACAAGATGTGCGCTGGTTGGTAGTCTGCAATCTCTCAAGCCTACAACAAAGACCATCTATTTTTAATGATGCACAACGTCACAGACAGAAACTGAACATCAGTGAATTATTGAACAAGCAGGGAAACAGAGACTTCCAAATGTCTGGAGCAAATACGTAAATTGTTGTGGAGCAGCAGGAATAAAAAACTGGAACAGTGAGAACAGTCAGTCTGCATTCTCCGTTAAAGCTGCTGGAAGTCCATCCCAGCCACTATTAGAGAACTGGACACATACGGCATATTCAAAGCTCGTTTAAATAAAAGTCAGCACTAAAACTCATCTGCATGTTATTGTCCTCAGTCTGTCTGTGCTGAACTTCCCTTGCTGCCTGCTGTCACCTGTCGCTATCTTACTATCACCAGCGTGCCCTAATGTCCCTGCGTGCTTGTGTTTAATTGTGGTTTTGTATTTACTGTGTCATATTGATGTATACTGTGTATGCTTGTCATTTCTTTGTTGCCTTATATACTCAATATCACTACTAACATTAATACATTTTATTGTTTTGAGCGTTTTTGCCTCATGAGTCTGTATTGCATATTTTAAATAGTACCTGAAAATCTAGAATAAAGGGTGTCTTCTATTTAAATTAATATTCTCATTTCTTTTTATTATTGTTCTGCATTCTTATAAATTAACTTAATGTACTTAATTGTAATTGTAATCATAAATACAGTTTTTTAGGGCAACTTTGTAACATACAAACAATATGTCCTGATGCTTCATCCACCTGCTGCTGCTGTACTTAAGTAAGCATACAGGCTGTTCTGCAGCGCTCTAATGCCAAATGGTGAGCCCATTTGGTAGCACGATTACTACGTCCGTCTAATGTGATGTGTTTGTTCATCCTTCTGTGTCTCATTATTACCGAAGTCTGTTACAGACCAGCTTTGCAACTTCATCCCATCCTGCTGCACATACCTTCCTGACATCTGCTTCAACTAATCCTCAACAGACTTCACTACGAAGTTACAACATCTCGGAAGTCCTTTCAAATACAATCCCGCCATGAGACACTGATCCTAATAACTTAGTCCACAGTCTCCTGTAATTGATTTATTGTGCCAGTGTGAAGGAAATCGCCACAACAAAGCAACAGCCCAAATTGTGGTGATCAGACAGGCTCAAGTTAACTAAAGATTAAATGAAAAAATTAGATTTAGCAAAAGATCGATGGCTACCCGAGTCCCTGGCAGCACTATTGTATGAACCCTTTCTCTGGACACAGTTCTCTCCCCATGGTGGAAACAAGGCTTTCACTGAATCCTTGGAAACACGACTTTCTCTGACTCCTCTAATGAGCTGCACTGGAATGCATAACAAAGTGTTGAGGATGAGGAGATTCAGAAAGCTGGCATCCAAAAAAAAAAAAAGTGTGATGTGACGTTTCAGTCTTTGGCCTCATCTAATCACGGCCCAGGGGGGCGTGATGTTAACGAGTGAATGTGTTAAGAACTAAATATGTCTACATAGCGTGTAAGTGTTGCACCTACTTTATGCCTCCAGAAGGGTTAGGATATTGAAACAGAGAGGACAAACAACTTCTGGGGAATATCAAGGTAAGTTTTGGCCAGAATGGTTGAGTAAGAACATACGAAATGTAAAAATGAATGAGATAAACAGCCTTTTTCTGGCTACTATTGGAGCTGCAATGACTATCAGACAGACAAACAATTAGTCAGTGACTTTTTTCAAACATTCGCTGATTCCAGCTTCTCAAATGTGAGGATTGTGTGCTTTTGATTGTCTTATACAAGACTCTAAAGTATCCTTAGGGGTAGGTAGCATTTAAGAAACACTGTCTTATATGATTGTAAACTAAATATCGTTGAGTCGTGGACTGTTGGCTGAATAAAACGAGTTATTTAAATAATCTTTGGGCTGTTAGAAAAGATAATCATGGATCAATTAACTGAAAAAATAACTTTGCATATAAATCAATAATAATAATTGTTAGTTGCAGCCCTAAAGCTTATTAAAACTTATATATGCACTTACATTATGTCAGATATTAACAAGTATGTTCTTCTGATTTTATGCTTTGTTGCACTGTTGTTGTTTCTCTTAAAAAAGCAAACACACAAACAAAACTATTGAATCATTCTTTCACTACAGCATCTATAAGGAGTAAAAATAAATCCAGAGACGGCCTGTGGCAGCATGCAGCACCGCGCTGGTGATGTAAATGTAGAAATATAGAATAGCAGGTGGAGCAGACTGCCTTGGACAGGACTTCTCCATTAAATCTGCTGTTAAATATGAATGGCTCTGGCATTTAGATGTTTTTCGCTGCACTGTGTGCCCAGCCAGCAAAAGTGACAGTCTGCGGTTGGAGCACTTTAAACTCCCTTTCTGCTCTCCTGCTTTTTGCTTGTACCGAGCACAGGCTGCTGCCCCCTTTGTCCTGTGTAAGTTTACACAAGGCTTATTGCACATGCTCGTAGTGATGAGGAAGAAAAGAAACAAGGAGCGGAAAAAAAGAAAAATCTCTCCTAACAAAGTAGGCCACGCTGTTCTAAAAGCAGCAGAGAACAAAGCAGGCAAAATACAGAATACAATGACATTCTTTAATTGTGTGCATGAATTTATCTAATATGTCAAATCTGTCAGTTAATATTTCACATTAAGAAAGATTAGGTGGTAACAGAGTGGAAAAACAAAAAACAGAAGAGCTGACTGACTCTTTTTTTACACTGTAATCTATTTTAGGACATTGTAATTATCCCTCTGCAATAGGTGATGTAACAGTTTTCTATACAGGCCATTCAAACAAAGTTCAGCATTTCTAATTGTTTTGTATAAATGATACAGGATGCACTTCAGCTCGCCCTCCAGGCTCTGAGAGTCTGGCTGCAGCTTAAGAAAAACTTCAAAGGGGTTTGTTAATGTTCTGTACGAGCACTGTGGGCTACGCCGCACCCTCCCTGCATACTAAACCAAACATGTGTTTCAACTAAAAATTAAAACTCAGATGGGAAAACAAATGGAGTACTCACCTGCAAGAGGGTCTGAGAGGAGATGGTGGCAATGGGAACATACAGGCAGAAGAAAAGAAAACACAGTGTTAGACTAGTTTAGGTAGAGATAATACAATAATCTTTCAGGTTCAATGCACATCTGATTATCCTCCTTACTGGTCTTCCAGCAACGAAGCTGCAAGTCACACGTCAGCATCACCAATCTACTGTAACGCCACAAGAAAATTTAAGTGGCTTCAACTCGCGACCTTGTTAATTTGCTACGACAGGACGTGTCCCCTTGGTGATGGATGGTGCATGAAAGCTTAGTGTCTAACAGCTCTGGCAAAAACAGATCAATAACCGGCCCCACATGTGACCAAGCCCTTCCCCGTGGCTCTATCCACAGCGCAGACCACAGCGCCCGGAGGGAGAGCGCTGACCGGAGCTGTCTGACAGATGGTCACTGATCCTGGGGTACAGAGGAGCCAGACGTGGGCCCACTAAAACAGGCTTGTGAATTATTAAATAATAAGATGGCAGACAGGGAGTTCAGCCCACATTCACGGATTCCATTATTTGATCGTACAGTACATTCATAGAGTATATTTGAAATGTGTATTTATGTTCTCTACTGACTCACTCACTGACGATCACAGGGACAAATTATGTGTGTATTATTCCCCCGAAACTCGCACTGTCTTTGGTGAAAGTTTAAAGTGTTAACCCATATCTTGGTGCGAGCTACAGAGTCACCTTAAACCGGATATAAAAAGATATAAAAAGGTTCTCAAATAACCGACTGACCCACCAGTCCAACATCCACAGGGCCACGCTACAACTCTGGCTGAAAATGTTGGCAACAAACCGTCAAGTCAGCACTTTAGTGGACTAAGAGCTCGGTGAGACTCCCGCTCATACATCAGCACATACTCTAGTAAATGTGCTGACCGTCTACAGCAGACAACAGTGGGATTAATAGCTCTTAAAAACACTTAATTCCACCTGATTTAATTCTTAAATCAATGCCTGGACTTTGTTTGGGGGATTAATCAAACACTTCCCAGCTGCCCAGGTCTAATCCCTCCCCAGTCACAACAGATGCACTGGGCCAAGTGGCAGACTGGATCCTGGAGGTGAGATGTGAGCACATTCACACCCCGTTAGACTCTCATAACAGCTCGACCTGCCAACACAACAGACAAAACGACGATTCTTCAGGGTCAAAAACCTGTGTGTGCAGCCTGACACCGTCCACACTGTCTGAATCCTTTTGCTTGCAGGGAAATATTGAAGGCAAACAAACATGAAAGGGTTTGAGCTCTTCAATCCAGGGTTTTCAAGAGGTAGTGTCAGGTGCGTGCAAGATAAACAGAACCATCTCAAAGGGAAAAATGGCCGCACACACATCAGAAAAGCAGAAAAAGCTTCTCACAAGTTGAGCTGACGACCGAGACATTAACTTTTTTGTCACAGTTTTCCCCTTTTTGCATATGTATTAAATTATTTTAGCATCTGAAAGAGTCGCCTCTACTTCTTTGGTTGGTTTTTCCTCTGAGAAAGAAAAAAGTGGAGCCTATCAGGGTTTCTGCAGGAGACCTCCAAATGAAATTTTAACCTTTTTAATACCACACAGAAAGCAATGTAATACCTGTTTCAAAGTATGAGAGTAAGGAGGGAAACAAGTAGGTTCAATATGAGCTATAATTAGTTATTATTATATAACATTTTATTTAGTACTTCCCAGCAGAATATTGCAAAAATGTATAATGATATAATTTATTAAATCGACATGACATGGAGCAAGAAAAGCATCAGATAATGGATGTATGGATGGATTAACTGATTAAAAATGATTTCAGTTCATGTAAAGTTTTGCTAAAACCGACACTTGTCCATTATGTGTCGATGAACATCGCAGCTACCACAGCTAGCTAGCTTTAGCAACAGTGTTTGTAGACCTGATGGTGCAGTGGTAAAAAGGATTGAACAGCATGCTGCAGCACAAACCACTGCTTATACAGTAGGTGTATAACAACTCTATTTTATAACTAACCTTACTGCCTACAATTCAATTCCCTGCATATCTTTGGTGTTGTTTTTTACAATCCTTATTTGTTTCTACAAAAAGAAAAAAGAAAAAGGAACTCACCCTCTGCTGTATGGTTGCATGTTTGTGCTCCATCTCCCTCTTCTCCATGGCTGAATCAATCACCAGCTGATCCAGCTAAAAGTAAAAATAAAGTTCAGTGTTTCTGAAAGAAGGTACATCCCGTGAAAATGGACCATATGTAGTACAGTTAAGGCGCTGCCACAGAGTATGGTGATCCAGAGAAGCTGACTGTAACACGTTTTACTTGCAAACACACAGACTAAGCCTCCAATGACATGTGAGGTCAGTGTTTTGTAATGAGGCATCGATTCAGCTCTCCTGCTGCATGTCATGACAAACAAGTTAATCCACAATAATGTGCACCCAACAGTTGAGGATAAAATATTGGTTGTAACTGTGATGGAACCTTTTTAAATCACGTAGAAAGGCTTTTTTTTTTATTAGGTACAACACACTCAAAATCATCACACACATCAAACAACAAGCAGAAATTCAAATGATAAATTACGCAACTGCATCTCGTCAATAGTTGAAATGAGGATCAAACCAATTCCAATCGAGAGAGAGAGAGAGAGAGAGAGAGAGAGAGAGCCTGGGGGAATGACACAGCTGAGTGGTGATAGAGACACTTCAGTCACCTCAGCAGCCAGTTTCTTCATGTACGGGTCGATCTCATCCAGCAGGTTGTAGCCCTGCTGGAACAGCGAGTACTGGGCGTGCATGAATGACAGCATCTGGGTGGGACAGAAGCAGTTTTTATTTAACATAAAGAAGTGCTGTGGCCACTCAGATCTTTGCGTGTGGAATAAATAATAAAGATGTTTGACTTACAGCATCTAGGATCTCAAATTTCTTCTTTGCCTGGAGGACATTGATCTGCAGAGACAGACGTGTTTGGAGTATTGATTATGGTATTTATGATACCCACAATAATACACCACATTTGAGGCTTTTGAGATGAGTCCCTCTAGTGGACAATATTATTATTTTTCTAACATCATAAACCTTAATTTGAGTTTAAAAGGCAAATCAGAATATGCCCCATTACGGGTCATCAGTAGAAGTGGAAAAAAAAACACACTGCCATAAGTAAGTCTCTATGGCGTTTCCTGAATGAAAGCCTTTGCATTGTATATCTTAACCGATGCAGATCTAAATGAAATTTTGTGCTGCATTTAAGAGGTCATTCATACATATAGCGCATCTCCCTCCAGCTTTGACCTTTTCTGCCTTGAGACACTTTCAATTAAGACTCAAAAGGGTAAGACGTCTGAGAGCAGTGAGAGAAGGCTGCCTGCAGACAAAAAGAAGAATGGAAAAAAGGGGGCACGGGCATCACAGCGATCACACTGAATGTGTCTCTTTGTTCCCGCGGGGCAGTCACGGGTAGGATGTTACAACTTGTGGGCAAAATAGACCCATGCTGCATACGAACAGAGAGGAGAATGTGTCACACAGGAAGAAGTACGGACACAGACATCGCTGCAGGCTAAAAGGCTACGCCAGGGTCATGTATGGGCGAGATTAGTCTTGTGGGAATGCAAACGAATACATTATTTGTATATGAACAGATGACACCATGACTGGGTCAGCTGCAAGGAGGCGAGACAGGAGTCAGGATTTTAATGTCTCTCTTCTTCACATTGTACAAACTAGTTCTGTCACTCAACCCTTAATAACCTTAGCTCTTTCATCACATCCAGAATTGACTACTACATATGGCACAGCACAAATAAAATGTATTATTATTAGTAATATAAAAGTAATACAGGTTGTCTGTACTGTGTGAACAGGAACTGTTTATGGCCAAGGAGTCGGACTCTCCATGATGCAGATTTGCCAGAATGGGGAGAGGGAGCGGATCCATGTTTCTACAGTAGCCCAGTACGGACAAACCAAGTGCTGGCTCTGGATAGGGTCTTTTGCAAGGGGAGGGTGAGGCTGGCAATCTGAAAATTCACTGCTAGATGCCACTAAATGCTACACACTGGACCTTTAAATTCAATATTCAGACATTAAATAAGGTTCACTTCAATAACTTTTTTACCGGATGTCACCAGATCTGTCTTGAAGAGCGGGTTTAAGCTTAGCCTAAGCTGAACCGGGTGCCCCGCTGCCTACCTTTACATGCATCACAGCCTTCTCTTATAATCTACACAACTTCCAGTTTTAAAGAATTGCCAGTGCAACTGGCTTGTATTTTTCCTCTGTACCTGTTCACATTAATTATTACTTCCTGAATCATTAACACTTACACAGGTAACTTTATCTTACATGCGCATGAGGAAAGATACAATATTCTCAAATATATAAAATTGTACCTTACATAGTAACATACTGTATACTTTCAAACAAGGGTTTTATAGACTCATTTTCCCAACCTGCAGTACGTAGTCCAAAGCGAGGTGTCGGAAGCACTTGCGAGTGATGCTGAGTGTGCCGGCTGCTTCTTCCACCTCATGAGGCTTGTTCCTCGGCGCCTGAGCGTTCTTCACCTGTGCTATTTCCATATCCTCACGCACCCTATCAAAGTGCTTCTTGGTCTCCTTGAACTTCCGAACATCCCTGACAGACACAGAGGAGCGAAACTGAAGTGAGACATCAATAAAGCAGCTTCACACAATCACACAAACAAAGTAAACGTAATGTGAGGTTACAGGTACCCTACTTTAGCTGCATTGTTCTCGATATGTCTGTGACAACATATTTAGGCTACAAAAAGTTGTACTGTTTAATATTTAAAAACACCAAAAAGGTTTTCAGGGGCAACAAGGCTCTTTAAAAGGTTATGGACTTTTGGCTTTTTCTACCTGTGTTGAATATTTCATACACCTAAAGTTCTGCAGGGACCCCAGACTGAAGCACCAGCTTTACTCACTCTTTCACAAAGTTGTTCAACTGCTGCTTCACGGACCGCTGAGCTTGATCAAACAGGATCTGAAACAGATGAAAAGAAGAATTAGCGTTTCCTGAATATGTTTTCGAAAAGACTGTACACCTGGAGCTGAAAGTCATTTTCATACCACTGCATGTGCAGAACTGCTATTTTAGTAAACTTTGGGAGAAATGGTTTTGAGAGTCGATAAATTAATCAAAACTTAGAGATGAAAGTTAGTCAATGAAACATTAATTACCAACTGTTTTAATAATAGATTAATAAATAGTTTTGATAGTTCCAGCTTCTGAAATATGAGGATTTGCTGCTTTTCTTCTTCTCATGTTATAAAAAACTGAATTTGGACAGTTGGTCGGGGAAAAAAACAAAATAATTAATAGATTAATCAAGAAAACAACTGCAGAATAACCAATAATATTTGGTAAATAATTACAGAAAATAAGATGAAAACCATTAAATTTTCCATAGTCTGTTTCCACACAGAATAGATCTTAAAACTACATTTATTTGATTTTGGATGCTGACCCAATATAGAAAATAAACACTGGATCCTCATTCGTTCTAGCTAAAATTAACCCAGTATTGCATCAGTGCTGGGTCAATTGAGATTTTTATTGTGACAAAGAAAGATGTAGTTCCTTTAATTATTCATGAATTTCTATTAAACCAAAACAGCACATAAAAAATAAAAAATAATGCATATTGTCTGCACAACCTGGTGCAATTTGCCATTTCTCATTCCAAGACTTTTGGAGGGAAAACAACAGTGGGCTTCTGTCGAACCAGCTACAATGCATTTCTAACCAACAGAGGGCGACAAAGCACAGCTTTTTCCCCCGCCACATGATGCCTTCAAATGATGCAAATCAGCCCTTAATGCCTGTTGGAATGAATGCTGGAGGAACGTCACTCTAACTCAAAGCACACCCGCTCTAACACAATAACACGCTCCCTTTGGTTAGGTGTTTTACATTCAAGATCCCTCCTCCTCTCTTTCACCCTCCGAGCACATCCTCTGTGACTGCCGCTGCTGCTGCTGCTGCTGCTGCTGCTGCCATGCTGCTGCCGCCGCCGCTAAATAGGTCACTCGGGCAGAGAGGGAGGGAGGAAGCGATAGGGAGGAGAGGAGGCTTTTGGTACAATGTGACACTGCAGAGTTTGCATCCAACGCAGGGTGAACAACCTACTCAGACAAATTGTCAGAGCCAATGTGCTATCACCACAACTGAGCAGCTCGATTGGTTAAAGGGTTTGCATCCTCATCCTGCCTGAATAATTGGATATACAACTGCACAAGTGTGGATTAGAAGATTTGACTTTGCAAGGCCCTATAAAACTAGGCTTATGGGTGTTTTAACTCCGGGATTACAGGCGCTGATGACGAGTGAGGCACCTCTCTATAGTTGCCACAGTAGGTGGTGTACAGAGGGAGCCACAAACCAGCATAAAAATAAGTATAGATGACTTTGACTTGAACAGATTTAAAAATAAAAATGTGGCGGAGATGGAAGTGGTCAGTTTCACTGTGTTCCTGCCACCACCTCTGAGAGAGACGTGTTTGTTCTGATGTTGGGTTAAGGCTTTATTTTACTGCTCTATAAACTCAATGGATCCAAATAAGTGTGAGAGTGAAAACAACAAAGCAGCCCTGCCATCCTGTTCCTCACTTCATGCTTCTGCACATCAGAAACCATCGACTTTACTGAATGTGATCAATGAGCAAAGGAATTCCTCCAATACTGCAGCAGATGCCGTGTGCCAATCTTTCAAGTCGAGTTAATAAAAGTACCTTTAATGGCTTCTTGCAAAGTGCTATGTTCAAAGGCCACTCCGCGAATCACTCGGGATTGATTGAGCATATCTGTTCTCCTGACTGCAGTTTAACAAGCTCTTAGAGAAGCGCAAGTTCTTCTTCTCGTCTTGTGCCATCGAGGGCTCCCACAGACACGAAAAGACTCAAAACAGGACCGGCAGGACGGCTGGGGGGGAGATTAGATCAGACAGGACTGAGGTGAACGGTGGCTCAATGTGAACCGCAATCTTTGTAAGTAGTCGAGTCAACAAGCACACACAATCCATGTTTGTGTGTGTGGTAGGAAAACTGCTGTGAGACTTCCTGGCTATGGGGGTAGTGTAGTGCCTGTAGCATTCCTGAGCTTCTTTGTGGCAAGCTGACACTCTATTTTTATTGGACAAGATGCCACAGGTTGCCTCTGTGGGATGTGTAGTAAAAGAAACGGAGGCCTGATTAACAATATTTTATTTGAATTAGTCAGACTAATGACAAGTGGCTGTATGAGTGCTGATATTTGTCATTTGGGTGACAATTTATGAAATATCTTAGCAAATATTAGATACATATGTGGCCCCCAGAAGTTTAGGCCTAATGACGTTGGTTAGACACTGCAGTTGACTGGATATGTGCAGCTTAACCTGTACTTGGAGCTTAAAGGAACCCTGTGGAGATATGGTGCACGCCAGGAGGACATACATGCATACTCACAAGCACACAACGATGAGACACACAGCCATGGTTTCACACACAGTGAAGTAAGGACCATCACCAGCAAAGGGACGAAGAAAAAAAGCATTCAACAAGTTTCTTAGTTTTATATAGCATATAGCATTATATAGCAGAGAATGCTAACATGTTATAATCACAATAAAAAAACAGAAGTTAGTGTGTTTTTAGCTTCTGTACTGTGATGTTAGATAAGGAGGACGATGAGAAAGAAGGAGAAATACATAAATTAAACGTGAACCGTACTCTCTCTTTCTCTGCTAGCTACAAGGACCCATGAGCTAACCATCAAGGGCCGTTTCTCATCATTACCCAGTCGCTCCAAATTACATTTCATTGGATAAATATTACAAAAAAGAAAATATTTTTTGACATAATGTATATTAAAGAGACAGGACACGAGATTAGAACTTGTATTTCTTATTGTGTCTACTCAGATGCTAAACAAAGGCATATTGATGGGCTAACTATGTTAAGTGTGCCATCAGCAGAAAGCCGGGCTCATTTCAGACTCGTGGGGCTCCTGCTGTGACTGTGGACATTACGTTGTGTTAAAATTATGAATGAGATCCATTTTTGTTTGGATTTGAAATCTTCTCAGCATTAGAAACTATCATAACAAATAATTCTCATATTTGACAGACAGGTCAACATACACAATGGCGTTGGAATGTGGTCGAACAAAGACAGCACTGTCAAAACATAAGTAAGTAAGTAAGTAAGTAAGTAAGTAAGGAACATCTGGCACATCATCCATGACCTGATATCAGAGCTAAGGAATGAGACGGCTACAAACGCCACCACAAAGGACTACTGTACTGACTATCAGGTTGCTAATGTCCCTCTCATTCCACCGGCATGTTGGGACACAGACTGATCTGATGGAGCAATTATCTTTAGCCACACTGGTGATTCAAGGACGGGAGGGAGCACACAAGCAAGCGAGCACCGCCGTCAAATCAGACAGAAAATGTCAAACTGTTGTTTTTACACATAATCCAGGAAGGTTGACAGATCATACCTGAACGACCTTCATGTTAACAGTTCCACGAGTGAAAAGTGCTCCTGCCACTGTGCACCACTGGTTATAGATCCTTGCTCAATAGGAAGGACTAAAAAATAGAAAAGCCTCGGAATATATGATAAGATAAGATAAGAAAAAATGATCCTTTTTTGATCCCCAGTAGAGGAAATTCAAATTTGGCACAGCAGCACAAGGAATGTACTGCAAAAGATTAGAGAAAGAATAAAACAAAATAAATGATCTATATATATATATATATATATATATATATAATAGAAATATACAAATCTTTAAAAAAATATGAACTATATGCAATAAAGAGGAAAGCGAAAATGACTGTAATAACCTCAATAATAAACACGTACACATTGTACAAAAACTGAACAAAATAAACTTTGTAAAGGTAGATTTGTTGTATTGCAACTAATTTTACAGGTGTACCTAATAAAGTGGCCACCGAGTGTATGTGTAAGGGCAAAAAGGCTGCGTAACACTAGAATAATTTGAACCATATCACATATAATGCCTCTATTATTTATTGATCTATTGTGTGGAGAATCTGTCCTTCAGCAAATGCATGTCGAAGCAATTGAGATAAAAAAGAAAATCCTCCTATTGGTGCTGTTCAAGAGCTTCAAGCTTAATATTATTATTAATGATTCTCTGTCAGGTCACCATGCTCCCTTAGAAAATACATCTTCATATACTTCCTGAACAAAGGATGCAGTTACAGTCGGTAGGGAATGATAAGAATTGCAGTCGCAGACAGAAACGCCTTCCTGTTACATCTTGCTTTGTTTTCCAGTTTCCAAATATAACTGAGAGACACTAGTGTTGGCATCCCACATGGGAATTCACTCACTCATTGTGTACAGTCTACTGCCTGAACATACTTGTTCAAATGAGTTAAATCAGGAAAATCAACATGCATGTATGTAACTTCAAAAGAATATGTAATCATTACCTAATATACGTCTACCTACTGTAGATCCCATGTTTTTTAGTGCTTTCAGACTTTAAGATGTTAGCCTGCATCTCTGTGTCAGTCTCAACTCATTTCTAATGGATGTTCAGAGTCAAACGTAAATCAATAATTTATGCAGTATTCATATGGAGTTTCATGCTTGAATGAAACAGAGACTGTTAAAATATTGGCCTGATTCTGTTGATGCTTCTCACAGAAAAATCTATTGTGAAATCTTTGGAAGGGAAAAGGCTCAGAGCTGAAGTAAAAGGAGCTATACTTGGCTTGCGTTTGACATTCATACAAACAGAGCCTGTTTGTTCTGTTGTGTGGTACTGAACTGGCAAGAGAGCCAAAGTATCAGGAAATGGAGGGAAGCAAAGGGCCAAGACTGTTTTACACTTTTCTTGGATCTGTGTGTTTCGGTGCCTGAGCTCAACGCCCATGTATGCGCTTAAACACATGTGCCGCTTGTGTTTATTTTATGCATTTTCAAAGGCATCCGAGCATGGCCGCAACAAGGCCAGTTGGCACTCAGAGGGTCCCATTTGTACGGTGCCATTTCATATTCTTGAGTGTCTGCTGCGTAGGGTATGCACAGTGGCAGCTGCATGGCAAAACATGCACACAGAGGGACATCCATCACAAGTAGCAGATATAACCATCATCATTTCTTATTCATTGGAGCACTGCTGGAGTCCCCTCAGCTACCGGAGCGCTACACACTTAAATGCACATGGTGTCTCTCCTGATTAAAAACCAAACATGTAAAAGATGTCAAGAGAAAATGTTACCGCTTCAGCTTTAATATCAGCGCATCACGAGGCATCTCGTCACTGCTTTAAGGTCACATCAGTGCAAATATTATGATTTCTGTGAAATCATTCATCTCAGGGGAATCCCTCTTATCACTTTAGTCTTGCACTGCTCATCCCCACAAACACCCCCACTCCCCCCCGCCCTGCCGCCTTGCTCTGCTTTTACATCAAAGTAACAAAGAAAACCTTTGAGAGCCAATCATATTCATGTCCAGTCAGACTCTTGGCTCTAATGGACAGGAGGGAGAGAGAAAGGAAACAGGAGGCTGAGACCCCAGCTGAGCTCACAGTGCAAGAGGCCAGCTGGTCCCGGGCCAGACCACGCTCTCTTATGGTCTCTAAAGTGTGACACATTGAACCAGACAAACAGGGAATCTGTCAGTCTGACAGAAACACTGACAGACTGGAATTGGACAGCACTGGAGACCGAAAGAAGCACGTAATCCTAAAACTGCCAACAATCTGGTATGAATACATTTACAAAGGGCCAGCAAAACAAAAGGAAAGCCTTCCTATATAATGCATTTCAATAAAACATCAATATAAAGCCTCAAAAATTACCATCATGGAGAGTCAACACTTAAAAAAATGAACAAAACAAGCTGCACAAAGCAGCGTTTTGCATTACTACTACATTATATTGTACGGATCAATATACTGTACGTTTATGGATCAGTAATACTCAAATATCTGTCCACAGATCCATAAGATCACAATATTATTTCCTATCAAACCATTCAGAAGGGTTTTTGATATTGCTGATAAAGTATGAAATTGTATACACGTCTAAGCTAAACATGTGATAATAACTCGATTACCAGTTTATTAGGTAAACTTGGCTGAAGCAAATGCAGTCCGATACAACAGTACTGCAATAAATTCATTCATTCATTAAGGCTATAATGTACATTTTTATTTTAAACTGTTTAAGAGACCTGTTGATGGACTTTTACACTATTTTTGGAGGTTGTAGTTTGTGGCGCTGTGGAATTATATGATTACCGTAATCTATTCTCATTGATAATATAATAAGGTCCTTCAAGATGCCAGAAGCCAGGATCGACAGAATTTACAAATAACTACAGCAAGCACACCCAAATGATCTTTTTGTATTCAGTTTAAGCTGAATTACTTAATTGTTTAATAAAAGCAAAATGCTTGAATGTCTACACATCCAGTAGATCCAGAGCAACATTAGAGTCTCCACCAGCTGAGGAAAATATCTGGCTCTTTAACTGCTAAATGCTCCACTTTGTTCACCAGCTCATCACTAACATCATCTGTCTCTCGTCTGATGATGGGCAGGTAGTGCCGTACAGCTGTCTGCTGCAGCTGGAAACGATGATATTTCTCTGTGGGTTCGTCAATACAAGTGAGTCCTTTCACATACAAGTGCTAATATAATCTATTTCTAATATAGAAATACTGATAAGTAAGGACTTATTGATTAAAGCGTGAGATAAATTATGCTAATCAACATTTTCACTACAATATATTAATGACACTTTCAACCAAATCAGCTATTTACTGCAATAATTTGGTAAAAGCCCAATGACCCGTTGAAGGTCAAAGGTTAATTATTACTTAGCACCCTAACATAAATGATGATAAACATCCTTAATCTAGTCTTTTGGCACTGAGGCACTACAGAATGACAACGTTTTCCTTTTCACTGCAGTGATTACAACCTTTATTCGTCACTGCACTGGCTCACACAGTTAATCCACTCAGGTTGATCCCACACCCACACACACCCACACACAAACACACAAACACACTTATGTCAGCCAAGAGGGCACATTGACAGCTATTGACAGTCACGCATGCACATGCATACATACTGTACACACGTCTGGCCGTATGTAACACACGTGACATGTCAAGGTTACACAGGGTTACTACTGTCCAACGGCTAAAGCTAATCCACGCCTGATTAAGCGACCTGCTCCATTAACCCTCCATTTGTAACGCTGACCTCTCTCCACCACCATTTGACTGGGAGTGAATGGGACGGAGGGAGTAGCTGATTTGCGATGACACATCTTTGAAAGGAATGTGAGAGACACACTCACGCTCTGCACTTTACAGCATCGTGAAGCACGCAACGGGTTCAGACTAATGGACTTCAAAGGGCCGTTGAGGGGCAGGATGGGGGGCAGGGGGTCAGGAGCCTTGAAGGCGGGGAGGGGAAACGACATAGCAGTAAAGCAGAAGCTCTGTTTAATGTCAGTGAAAAGATGTTGATGAATGCAAATACAGAAACAGAGAGTGAAAAACATTACCTTAATGTTATTGTTATTCAAGGTTGTAATTCTCAGGAATGTTATCAGGGGCTGCCTGTACTGTGATGGCATTGGGAATTACTAAAATACCCGTAGACAACTGCTTTTGAAAGTACAAAATTCCACAAATGCCGGGCCTTTATTAAGAGTTATAACTCACACTGGGGAATTAAAAATGCTACGATCAGGAGGAAGAAGACTGTTTCTAAAAGTGAAACTACGAATACAATTTTCAGTATCAGTTTCAGTTTCATCAGTTAATGTCTTTAAAAAGCAAATTCTGCTGCCTGTATCATAATATATCAGATATTATGAGACAGTGCACAAGCATCGAATGACAGGATGAGCAGTTTAATTCCTACTAGCTCACATATCGCTGTATGTGAAGCATTTTGCTGGAATGAACACTGACTATATGAGCACAGATTACTGCCGTATACAGCAGACTGATCTGATCCAAGAAAAATATGTTTATTAACTTAGAAACTGTCTCTTTTATTTTATTTGTGCTGAGTGATTGAGACAATAAATGTATTATATAAGTGATATGTAGTATATAAGTGATATTAAAATGTGTTACAAGACCATTTCTCTCTCTGTCTCTGTGTGTGTTTAACCTTACATTATTCCGACAACATTTAAATTCATTTTTTTGCCAGATCTCATAAGATTGCTACTGTGTCAAATGTGACCAAGTTGCTCATTCAGACATGAGACCATCAGATTAATGTAAAAGGTTGCATTTCTGAAGGGAGCTTTCAATAGGCAGCGGCGGCGTCTTGTTTGAGATGTGATACAGCTCTGACTGACGGCTACAGTACTGACAGTTACACAGCGACTGACAGACAGATTTAATGATGTGTGAAAGAAGTAACCCACATGGGATCAGTTGAAACACAGCTCAGCTTGACCCCTCGGTACTGTACTGAAGGGAATACAGGACTCTTGTGAGGCCTTAAATGCCAGTTAGCATTTTTAAGATGAGATGATATCATATGTGCTGCTCTGTCTCAATCCGCTGTATGTGGAGCATATGGGGACAGTCTGGAGAGCAAGCCGACCTACCATGTGGTAGTTGATGATTTCCTGGAGGCTTTCACCGCACTTTTCCAGGCACTCCTGCAAAGAAAAAGCATATTATAACATAATTCTTTAACTAGACAAAGACATATCCTCAGAGCTGCTGCTGTATTTGCATCTGAGGGTAGAAGAAGCAAATAAAAGCTGTCACAAACTAAAACCAAAATGTATTTGAATTATAAATTGAAAATGAAAAGATCCGCAATGCTAAAATGAAGTCAAAGCTGGTTAATGTCACTGAGGTGTACGTTTGTGCTCTGGAGGATTTTTTCCCTTGAACCTTGTACGGGAAAAGGAACTGTAATTGCAGGGCTGATTCAGTTCTTTTTTTACAATGGAAACTACAAATATGAACAAGACTTTAATAAGAAACTCGCAATTAGTCATACAGTTGAGGCCAAGAAGGCTTTTAATAGTACTTAATGTCAGCAGCAATGAAAATGGAGCAAGACGCTGGTGCTATGAGCCGAGCCAGAAGTAAGTTTCCAGACCGGATCTGATCCTCACTTACTAATCTGTTAGTAATCAGGTTTACTCACACACTCAAACACACACAGCTGTAAGTCTAACACCCAGGAGGAGGAGAGGAGGAGACGTTACCATCCCAGGAGAAACTTAAAGTAACAATCCTATCCACTAAATGACAAATAAAGACAATAAAACCACAACAGAGGCTATAATGGCTAAAACAGAGGCTGGATGAAAATGACTTGGACACATTTCCTGACTCATCAGAACCTCACCGAGATCATTTCATCCTTCTTGCACTGCTGAGACAGATCCCGGATGCCGTTGACAAAGAGCTTGTTGGCGCTGACGTACGTCTTTCCTGCTTCAATCATCCCACTGCATAGCTTCACCAGCTGTGGAGCAGAGAGACACATTTTGGACGCATCACATTAATGTCAACGGGGGCCAAAGTTACCATGAAGGACGCTGAGGACGAAGGATCGACAGATAGGGTTTTCTCAGGGTCGATAGAGATGTCGATTATTTGTAAGGAGGGGAACCAATATTTAGAACTGATATATATTCACAGTAAAAACAAAAATCTGAATAAAGTGGTGGAGTGTGACTAAGTACATTTACTAAAGAGTAAGTAAGTTTTGAGGTACTTTCCCCATCCTTGGCAGCAGCCTTCAGTGTTGATAATCTATTACTCATGACTTATAACCATTGGAAGGGACATTGAATGAGACTACAGTTGTGACTACAGACAGAAAGAAGCGGCTACATCAGAGCCGAAGTACCACATTTTTAAATTAAATCATTTTACCAGCATTTAGGTTAAAAAAATTGAACAATTTGAAAAATGCTAAATTTGGGATCTGATAATCAGCAACCTCGCATTAAACCTAACATTGAGCATCTTTAAAAACAACATTTAAACTTTATATAGGGAGATAACAGTTATAGAAAATATCATTTGAACAGTCAAACAGGTACAAAATGTGAAGAAAAAAAATATATATTTGGAATTAATGACTTCAATATGTCTGAATTCCACCTTTAATGTCAGCTGATATTATATTGTCCCTTCGTATGTGACCAGACTTGGTGAAATGTGCTCAACCAGATGTGACCGTCACTGAGCTGCGATCACTTGAGGGCGGCAACGTTTATGGCTTAATATCGTACGCTCAGCCACAACACCCAAACGTCTGTTTCCAGATAAAAAAACCCTCGATGTTTTCAGCACATTATCACACAAAGACAGGGGATGTATGTCACACAGTTGCATGTTTGTTTGTCTGGTTATCACCTGTGGTAACATACGGTAGTGGGTGCATTCTCAGGTGGGGTCCATATGTCAGCAGCATGCCACACATGAGAAAGCTACAGAGGCTTAATGTTATCCAGGGCCGGGGAATGGATAACAGACACTGATGATTCAGCGTGTATGTTTTTGTGTATGACTTGTATCTCGACCACATGCTGCGAACACGCTACGACGAACATTTTCTTCTGCGGGTGTCAGCAAAAATGTATGATATCTGCCATAAAGCTTGCTTTGTTTAGCTTTCGACTTTCATGAGAGGAAAATTAATTTCTTTTTATTTTTCAGTCTGTGTTCTAACGCCAGTCCCATTTCCTCCCAGCTGCAAACCAGACATGAAACTGAGCACTTTTTTTCATTTAGTATAAAAGGAATAGTTCTGACATTTTGGGAAACTTATGTCTGAACACTAAATATGAAGCTAGAAGCAACATAGCTTAGCTTGACATTAAAGACTGGAAACAAGAGGAATAAGCTAGCCAAAATGTACATAATCCACCTAGCCGCGCCAATTATTCTAACTAGTTAACACGTTATATTTTCTTTATTAAATTCATACACATAACAAAATGTAAAAACAAGTTGTGGAGGAGTTAAATGCTGAAACTATTACAGAGCCACGCTAGCTGTTTCCCCCTGCTTCTATTCTTAATGCTAGGCTACGCTAACCATCTCCTAGCTTTATATTTTGTGTACAGACATGAGATTGGTATACATTTTCTCATCTAAATTTCACAAAGAAAGTGAATAAAATGTCAAAATATTTCATAAACCCCAGAAGAAGTTCTGTAGGGTTTTGAGGCACTGCTGAGCACTGAAATGGAAGTTACACAACAATTACTATAATGTTTTTTTGTGTCTGTGTCTACTAAACAACAGCCAGTTAGAACGATAAAAAGCCACTGTAAGAGTTAAAGAAGAGTCTAAAACCACACCAGTATGACGCTGTCCTGCAGTGATGCTTTGAGCTAAATGCTAATGTAATCCAGTTAATATAAAATAAAAATGCTTTTTTAGCACTAATTTTAATTAGCACTAAACACACAAAAGTAGTTGATATTTGGACAAATTGAAAGCTAGACTTAAGGACGGCACTAGAGCAGTCAGGGGATCTCTTAAATCATTACCGTTAATCCTGTGGGGGACATGAAGGTCTGTACAAAATTTCATGGTAATCTATCCAATACATTTCACCATAAAACAAATAAGTCAACCTCGAGTTGGAACCAGAAGTCAGGGGATCATTGCCAAAGAGCCAGGTCGCTACCATGGCTAAAAACGATAATGTAACATCAGGAGTAAATAATCAAATACACAAATAATAATAATAATTTATATTTTGAGTTGGATCAGGCTTGTCATCCCCTGCTGTTGCCCCTTGCAGTTGCTCCTGAGTGCACTGGAGGAGAATCAACTAAAACATGGATCACTGAAAACTTTCTTTTTTTCAGTTTCCAAAGTTTTCAAAGTTAAAATCTCATGCACAGAACAGAGGAAAAAGTACTAAGTGATCCCAGAGCTACAGATGTTATCAAATTCAGATGTGGGTAAGTGAGGTAAGTAGAAGCGTTAAGTTGTTAAATTTGGCCAAATAAGAGGCCAAATACAGTGCCATGAAAGTACTGGAAGAGAAGGGTTCGATGATGGAATACTAAATATCCCAATTAACAGCGACAAGGATGAACTGACAGTGGAGGTTTTCCAACAGTAAAAGAACAGCCCCACTAGTCCGGGCTCTCACGGACACATACCGTAATTCAAAGTCAAAGGGAGCAGATGGACCGGTGACATTACAGGCTAACAGGCAAAGCATCTGGCTGCCTCATTACAAGGCAACTGGATGCTTTAAAAGCTGGTGCGATGCAGTCTGATGTTTTCAGTTCATCTCCGCACTGCTGCCAAGTCACGTTTCACTGAACCTCGGCTGAACTGTTCGACAGGGCCTGAGCAACATCACGCTGTCCATTACTGACCATCAGTGCCATCGGTGGAGGCTAGCAATGTTAGTGCTGTGGGGATTAGGGCACTGCGGAGTATTATAATGCAGGGAGTGAGCAGAGCAGAGTGTGAGGGGCAAAGCTGGGTCAACGTGGTGTAATGCATCAGTGGAGGAAGTATTGAGATATTTTACTCAAGTAAAAGTAGCACAATATAAAGATACTCCAATACAAGTAAAAGTCCTGCACTCAAAACCTTACTTAAGTAAAAGTGCAGACGTATTAGTATGAAAATGTACTTAAAGTATCTGAAAAGTATCTTGAAAGTATCTTTAAGTATCCAAAGTAAAAAGTACTTTTTTAACAAGATCATATTTTTTTAAACTGATAATTTTATGTGTAAATCTTGATCCATGACCGAAGATGTGGAACTAATAAAAATCTTTTTCACATGCTCCATATAAAATGTACACTACAGATAAATAGAAAATATTACTGTGTGTTTATCACTGGGATCTCAGCGTGGCGCCCACAGAAAAGTAACTGATACATTTATTATTATAGATTTCTCACCATTGAAGATTTATTAGATCAGTGGCATTAACACCTGAATCATTGAACAGGTTGTCAGGTAATATTTAGGCATTTTGTGCCAGCATGAGGCTTCTATTATATAATATTAACATTTAAAAGGATAACTTTAGTTCTCCTTTATAAAAAGGCCATAAAATATGTTGCATTTTTAGACTGTTCTGCTCTTTGAACTTGTTGAACTTCTGGTCACACCTCAATCAGTGAAGTCACAGCAGGTTTTTTGCCTTCAGGTGTGCTTTAAAGCAGACTGGCACTGAGTTGTAGCTGATGGGCAGGATTTCCAATTTATATTCAGCACATAAAAAATCAGATGCAACTTGGCCTGATCACTTGTAGAGCAAGAAAACAAGCATGTACCAACAGTGTGAGTTGGCATGGCTGAATTTGAAATGGCTAAGTTGTTGTACTGACTTTAAATGTTGATCTGAATGACGCGTTATAATGGCTTGTACCATTTAGTAGCAGGCAAGCGAGCAAACTTTATTTATATAGCAGTTACAAATTGCTTTACAGGAAGAAGAAAAGGGAAAACCCCGCAAAATAAAACACATAAAATCAAGAGAAAGCCAAACAAAACTTCTGAGTTTTGGCTTTTCTGAGTCTGATGAAAATTCAGTGCAATATCTGCATTCGCCCTCACTTTCAGTGGATTTAACTACTTCTACACAACATGTGGTATGCTAGCAAGGTGCACAGCCTTGGAGAGATGATACAAACATCAGTGACTGGGGTGTAGTGAGAAGAGCGACATACTTTCAACTAGGGAGCAGTGTACCGCTAATGTCCATACAGGACAGATAAAGTGCATTGACAGTGACAATATCAAATGTCTTACCTTGTCCAGTTTCGCCTCGATCTCCACAACCTCTGTCTCCACCTCATCAATATTTGCCCTGAAAAAACAAACAAAAGCAAAGAGAAGCTGTTAGCGCATGTGTTGTGAAGTGTAACTGTACGTCTGAAAGAAATTCCACTAAAACTCATTTATCTCGATCTACAATCTGCTTGTGATTTCCCACGCTCTCAGAAAGCACGAGAACTCCCCATAAATCTGTGTGGGAGTTTTTTTTGCAGAGCCAAAGTGAGACATGTTTGAGCAGCGAGAGTTTGGGTGTGCTTTAAGTGAGCGAGACGCCGTCCTGGGAGCAGTCCGGCTCTGTCAAAACAAAGTGACAGGCGAGGTCTCTGCACAGTGAGGGGAACATGGCTCATCCCAAACCCCAATCCACCTACCCACTGTCAACACCACCACCACTAATGCCACACCCAACCCACACCACTGAGAGGTGTGATTTACACCCTGAGGCGCACAGACAGCTGCATGACGTAGCCCCTGAATACACCGCACGCCAGCTTCTCCACACACTGATGTCAATAATGAGGATGTGTGATATATATGTATATATATAATTATCGCCTTGATATGTTATATCTGCTGTTCATCCTGCTTCCTACTGCACAGTAGGATCGTGTGGCCTCATTGGAGAATAAATATGAGCCAGCCTCCTCATATAATCACAGCTCTGCATCCCATTTTTAACCCATTAGTTGTAGTAGTTTAAACCCTGCTACCCTCGCTAGTCTGTTATAGAAATACTAGTAGGTTAAATATTGTTAATATTTTATGAATGTAGACTGTTGCATCTAAGATATTACGCAGACAGCTGCCACTAGCAAAAGCAGCTGCTCTCCCTGTGCTCGGATATAGTCGAACCAGCGAGGGGGAGAGATGGCAGCTTGTAAGACCAGCACGGTTCGTCAGTATTTTGATCTAGCAGTAAAGTAACTACATTCAGCACGGTGGACATTAACCTGCAAGGGGAGCAGGCTGCTGGTGCTGCTAATGTTAGCCACCCTAGTCTGAATTTAAATTTCTGTTTAATCGACAGAGAAATGAGTCGCCAAAGAACATCCCTAATTTTAAATAGGCCTGTGTATTAGCAAGAACTTTGCAATACGATATATATAACAATACACAGTTACGATTCAATATATTGTGATATATTCCGATATTGTAAGCATGCAATTTTTTAAATCTAACTGTAGGAGAGCTGTCATAATATAAATAACACACTACCATATGCATTAAAGCTTTTTATGCAGTCGAACAGTGAATTCTTTGTATTTATCACTGACCATTTATCACCAAACATCATAGCACTTCTCCTGTAATCAGAGCAAAGGTATGAACATTTGTCTATATCAGTAAAAATAAATAAAAGTGTCTGTTCCTGAAAAGAGTATCACATATATATATATATA